TGTTCTAGAAAAAAAAGTTAAACTACAATAGAACTGGTATATGTGTGTGTATACATGAACAGACTTACAGTGGAAGGTGTGTTATATATTTATGGTTATATAAACATGTACCCTGGTTGTTGGGAAGAAGTGATGCCTGTATACAGTTCACTTAGTTAGGAATAAATATATTGGACTGGGCACAGTGGCTTACACCTGTAATCCCAGCACTTTGGGAGGCCAAGGCAGGTGGATGATCTGAGGTCAGGAGTTCGAGACCAGCCTGACCAACATGGAGAAACCCTGTCCCTACTAAAAATACAAAATTTGATAGGCATGGTAATGCCTGTAATCCCAGCTACTCGGGAGGCTGAAGCAGGAGAATTGCTTGAATCCGGGAGGTAGAGGTTACGGTGAGCCGAGACCATGCCATTGCTCTCCAGCCTGGGCAACAAGAGTGAAACTCCATCTCAAAAAAAAAAAAAAAAAAAAAAAAAAAAAAAAAAAAAAAAAAAAAAAAAAAAAAAAAAAAAAAAAAGAAGAAGAAGAACAAATATATTCAAGTAAGCAGGGTTTCAGATATCTTTAATGTCATCTTGAATTTATGTGAATTACAATAAACTTTGAAGTTAACAGGATAACAAAATTAGATTCCTAGATCATGGATAGTCTAGCTTAGTTTGTAATGGCTGGGATGGGATCTGGGAATATTTGTGTTCACAAAATTTGCAAGTGATTTTGAAGTAGCTGGTCTTTGGACAAGTGTTGAGAATGACTTCTCCTGCATGGGGTTTTGAGGGTCTTACTAAGGCAGTACCTATTTAAAGATCAGTGGTCTCCCATGTTACCATATTTTTCACCTTCTTAATACTTCTTAGTAGTGGGAAGAAAGGTTAGAGTCAATATTTTAAATTCACCCTTTTATGTTAAAGTAGAAAATTCCCTCTTGATTTCTGAGTAGCTATTTTTAGGGAGAAGGCATGTCCAGTGTGCTACAAATTTGTCTACACAGGTCTATATTTTGGGACATTTGTCCAAACCAAGAAGCTCAGAGGTGAATTTTAATTCTGCATTTTAGTTAATAGCTATAATTACAGTGTATCTGTTTAATAAACCATTATGTATGACAGTGAGACAAGCACAAGTGAATGTGCTTTATTGAAATAAATGGTCAAATCTTCAGCCTCAAATCCTTCCCTATAAATAGATGAAAAAGGGGAAGAATGATTTGTTGAGACCATTAGCCACTTGCACTTTTTGCTGGAGGTGCCAACAGTTAATTATGGCCTTACTGGTGTAACGAAGAGTGTGATTAATCATTTAAGCAATCGTTCCTTCTAAAAATTACAGCTTCAGAGACAGACCTGGCAAAGCTGAAAGTCTTAAGTTTTGTAGAGTTTCTTATGTGAAGCTGGGATTGTGGCAATACTCAGGAACCACTTTAACATCTTAAATAAGAGCTACCTGTGACTAGTATAATATAATACAGTAGCTTATCAAGGTGGATTCAAATCAAGCCAGAAAAAATTAAGATTTAGAAAAATAGTGACAAAAATTAAAAAGACAAATAATAGAGAACGTATTCATAATCTAAATAGAAAATGTTCATTTTCCTAGTTTATATGGGAGTGCCAATGAATTATTCTCCATCTAGTATAAACAGACAAGAAACAGAAATAGTAGAAAATGTTAATCTCATTGATAATTACAGAAATGTAAATTAAAACCACTGGAAGCCAAAAACACTTTTCCATTAAATAGAAAGTGTGATAAATGTGACAAATTCAACACTGGCAGGACTTAGAAGAGAGTTACATAGACACCTGTTGACTTACACATTTCTTGAAGGAATTGTGGCAGTCTGTCACACCAGGAATCAGGTAATCAGGAAAGTGATCAGGCTTTTTATGCCAGCCTTATACTCTAACTATATACCAACAAAGGACTTTAAAAGAAGGGGAAAACTCCTGCCCAAAGATGTTTAGCACCTCATTATATATTAATCCTGAAACTCGGAAACAGCTCGTATACTCAATGCTCAATTATTCAGAAAAAGCTGTGAAAGCAGTAAATTGATGCAGCTGAATATATTTAATATAATGCAGTTGAATAATAGATAGCCAATATGCATATGAAGAATATATAGGAATATAGAAAGAAGTAAAGCAAGTAAAAAGCGAAAATGATGTATGAAGATACTGAGAGGCAAACTGTACAATTATTTCTATATGGCAAGATTGTGGGGACTTTAGAGATAGAAACAGTTCATTCTTCAGGACAGAGGTTCTTTAATCATGCAAAAGTGATCTATGGAGCTTATAGAGTTTAGAATGGCATTTGGAATGTGGGTTCAGGAATCTGTATTTAAAACAGTCCTCACGTAATTCTAATACAGGTTATCTGTGGAAGCTATTTTGATAAACATTTTAGTATGTTGGGAATATTTCTAGTTCATTTGTGTGTCTATATTTTAACATATACACAATAAAATATTAAACAGTATATTTCAAGCATTCAGTAAGCTTATCTTATTAATAATGAATATGTCCAGAGATACACTTGAGAGACTAATTCCATGAATGTATATGTAATCTCTCCTATAAAAGGAAAATTCTTGAAGCAGAAAATGAAGCCAGCTGAGATATAGGGTTCTGGGCAGCCGGCTCGACTCAGTCAAGAGCAGCGCACTCTGTCCCTACCACCTACCCACCCACCATTCAAACCCCACACCAGCAAAATTACTAAGTATCCTAGAACAATCACTCCTTCACTCAGCCTTTGGCAGCAGTTGTGCGAACGTGAAAAAGTGATCTATGGAGCTTATAGAGTTTAAAGTGGCATCTGGAATGTGGGTTCAGGATCTGCATTTAAAACAGTCCCGTCCTCCTTGACAGGTTTTCTTCACTTGGCTGCTAAGACACCATGTCCTCTTGGCTGTCTTCGGCTGCACTGGTGGTTTCTTCTTGGTTGTCTTCACTATTCTCCCTGACTTGACCCTTCTCTCAGGCTACAGCCCTCTCACTTCTACCTACGCGTATTCCCTTGGTGATGTCAGCAGTCTCACAGCCTTCAGTACCACCCAAATGATGTATATCTCCCACCTGGACCTCGTTCTAAACACTGGACTTCTATATCCCACTGCTTATTCATCGCCTCCACTCAAATGTCTAGCAGACTTCTGAGACTCAATATATCCAAAAGTAAACTTCTGCTTTTTGCCCCCAGATCTCTTTTCCCAGCAGATTTCTCCATCTCAGCTAATGACAACTCCATCCTTCCAGATGCTCAGGCCAAAACCTCTGAGGTCATCCTTCACTCTTCTTTTTCTCTCACACCCCAGCTCTAATCCACAATAAAATTCTGCTGGTTCTACCTTCAAAATGAATCCAGACTCAGAACCCTACTCTCTAACTCCACTCCTGCCAAGCTGGCCTGAGCTCACAACATCTTTCCCCTGGATTACTGCAGCAGCCTGCTCACTCACCTCCCTGCTTCCCCTCCTGCCCTCTGCCCTCAGCCCACCCTCACCACAGCAGCCATAGTCATCCTTTCCAAACCTAAGACAGTTCGTGGCACTCCTTTGCTCAAATCCTTTAATAGCTTTCATCTGACTCAGAATACAAGCCAAAGCCCCTTTCATTGGCTTAGAAAGACATTCCTGATCGGGCCCCTGTTACCTCTTACTTTTTTTTCTACTCTCCCTCTCACATACCCTACTCCAGCCACACTGCCTTTCATGGTATTCCTTGAAGTGTGCAGCATCCTCCTGCTTTACAGCCTTTGCAATTGCTGTTTCCTCTTCACATCACATATTCACATAGCATCACATACTCACATGGTATCTCCATCACCTACTACAGTCTAAAGTCTCCTTCAGAATGAGGTGAGCACCATTTAAAAACTCTACCAACCCACTCACCTTCCGCAGCCCAACCCTTCTTACCCTGCCCTATCACCGTCTAATATAAAATAGTATCTACTTAGTTATTACCCTTATTTACTTTTGGTCTTCCCCATTTTAGAATGGAAGCTACAAAAGGTTAAGAGAATTTTTGTTGCTGTTGTCTCTTTTCTTCATAATAATGTTAAAAATCTCTAGAACAGTGCCAAGCATATATCACTGCATAAATATATTTGTTGAATGAATGAAACCACAAGTGTCAATGCCAAGACTGGGACACAGTCATTTCATGTAATACTATCACCATCACTAAAAAGGATATAACTTTTAGTTAGCTTCCTTCCACTGAAGATATAATCTAGTACAATTTTTTTTGCTAAGCAGCATAGTAGCCATAGCATCTTAGAGAAATAAGGAGGAAGCTGCATATTTCTACCTTAAGGTCTAGTCTAAGCAGAGAGAAAGACTCACTTAGATCTTTGCTAGTGACAGGCAAAGCACTGGGTGCCTTTCTTTAAAGGACGAGGCACAGAATCATTCCTGCACTCCAAGGGTCTTTCTTTCTTAAAAATAAATGGAGCAATTCCCTAACTGGGCGCTGCTGATCAAGGAAAGGTAACCAATTCTGTTCCCTGATGTTTTAATATATGAAATACAGGAGCTCATTTTCATGTTTTATACTACAGACAGTGTCCCTTTTGATTCCTTAATTCACAATTTCCTGCCATAGCCCTTGTTGGCTGCTTCTGTATCTTTTACCATTTTTCCACTTCAGAAATAAATAAGCAAAATATCCAGTGGGGTTGTTAGAGAATTTATTACTAACTGGGCAATTTCAATACTTTCAACACAAATGATTACATTTGCAGCTGGTATAAAATGCCCAGGAACTAAAATCCAATTACAACATTTCAGGCAAACTTTGACCTTAAGAAGAAAAACAAACAGCAACAACAAAAATGAGAACGATCACAGCTCATCAAGATACGCAGATTATGGCAATGACCATAGCAACTGGGTGTAATTTTTTAGTAAAAATAAAAAACCTCTTAAAACTATCTCCAAAAGTTTAAGTTGTGAAACTTAAAAAACAAAAATTTGGCCAAAGCCACTTGCTTACCTGACTGATGTCGCTCATCCAGGCGGCTTTCTCCTGGCGTGAAGGTGCTAACAAGACGACAGTGAAGGAGGCAGCGTCGGGAGGCTCCACCACTATTTTAAAATCCAGGTGCCCAAACACTTGCCCAGAACCTTTGGCTTGAACGCATGTAAACCAAACACTCACATGAGAATGCCAAAAAAAAGTGATAGCTGCTTTCGCATCGTTCTATCTACACAATCCATTTGCACTCAAATCAGGAATCTCATTTCAGCCACATCATACTTCTTGGGCATGAAGAAGGCTTTCTTAAGCTCATAAGCAGATGAGGAAGCTGAGGTCAGTAGGTTACTTCAGACTACAATCCTGGTTTCCTTCTAATTTCATAGTTTTTATTTTTTAAACCCCATGATTTATAGAATTCCAACACTCTAATTCAACTCTTCTTTCTTCTCTATCTGCCACTGAATAGTCACTATCACAAAACAAACTCAGTAAAATGTGAATTCCCAAAGATGGTTTAACAAGGCTCACAGGCTAAATGGTTCAATTTTCCATATATTAATGACTTTAGGGAGTTTATCCTCAGCCTCTCTCTTGCCTCTAATTCTAATATAATCTTAAGTGACTGAATGTGACTTACAGTCATCATCACTTGCATCTGGCTCTTCAATCAACGTGCAGTCTATTAGAGACAGAACCCCACCTGTCTGGAAACAAACCAATTTTTCATTAAGACGCTGAAGGTCTTGTGTAGACTGCGAAGCTCTGATTTGTAAACTCCATATTCAAGTTGCCATAGAAGAAAGCATAGCAATTCTGCATCATAAATAATTTTTATAGAGCCCAAAATTAAACTTAGATGTGCAAAAGGAAGTGAATTCATTTAACTTCAGTAAAATTCTTCTCTCTCAACTCACTCTCACTCAGATGGGAAACTTAGATGGCACCACAGTGGCTTTAGAGAGTAAAACAGCTTAGCAAAGGGCTGAACTCATCAACCAGGAAGTGGCTTAAGCAGTAGAAAGCTGTCATCATGGTGTTGAATAATATTTGTAAGCAATAATTTAAAAAAGGCTGTACATAGACAAACTTTTTCTGTAAAGGGTTAGATAGTAAATATTTTAGGCTCTGCAAGTCATATGATTTCTGTCACAACTACTCAGATCTGCCACTTTAGCAAAAAAGCAGCCACAAACAGTACATAAACAAATGAGTGTGGCTGTGTTTCAATAAAACTTTATTAACAAGCCAGGCACAGTGGCTCACACTTGTAATTCTAGCACTTTGGGAGGCCAAGGCAGGAGGATCACTTGAGCCAAGGAGTTCAAGACCAGCCCAAGCCACATGGCAAGACATTGTCTCTACTAAAATTTTTTTTTTTTTGAGACAGTCTCACCCTGTTGCCCAGGCTGGAGCACAGTGGCATGATCTCGGCTCACTGCAACCTCAGCCTCCCAGGTTCAAGTAATTCTCCTGCCTCAGCCTCCTGAGTAGCTGGGATTAAAGGTGTGTGCCACCATGCCCAGCTGATTTTTTTTTTTTTTTTCGTATTTTTAGTTGGGGTTTCACCATGTTGGTCACACTGGTCTTGAACTCCTGACCTCGTGATCTGCTCATCTCTGCCTCCCAAAGTGCTGGGATTACAGGTGTGAGCCACCATGCCCAGACTCTACTAAAATTTTTTTTAAAAATTAGATGAGCATGGTAGTCTGTAGGAAGCTAGGCGAGAGGGCTGTTTGAGCCTAGGAGTTCAAGGCTGCAGTGAGCTATGATCATGCTATTGCACTCCAGCCTGGGCAACAGAGTGAGACCCTATCTCAACCAAAGAAAAACCAAAATCAAAAACTGTATTAACAAAAACAGGCTCTAAGCCATGGGCCACAGTTTGCTGACTCCTAGTACCGTGCAAGATAAAACAGTGTTTAGTAAATATTGCATTGGTACATTGTAGTGATTTGACAAGACTTTTGTAGCTCAGTAGTTGTCAACTAGTATATAACTTTGTATATGATTTTAATATACAGACATAATATAGTATGTAATTTTGTCCAGGTTATGATTTTAATTGTATTTCCTTATGGTGATGCATACATAAAATAAATTTCTATTACTTTGAATTCAAATGACAACGAATTAAATGCCAGAGTTGGTAACTGTACATTACCTCGCTCATTATGTGATCATGACAATCTGTTTTATAATAATACCAAGCATGGGAAAGTACAAGTGAGTTAACATCAATACCTTGTAAGTGCTTGGAAGATAAATGGAATAGTTATGGAAAACCAGTACCTTGAGCAGATGAAGCTTCCCTCCTGAACTTCTTGTACATATTAAAAAGTGTTTTGTAAATAAGAAGCACTGTCTCTCTCCTTCCTTTTTCAAAGACAACGAACCCAGGCGAACTTTACTAAGTTTCCCCCTCTCAACGGAAGGTACTTGAATAAGAGAACCTGGCGATTACAAAAATGAAGAATACACAGCAATTAAAATTCTGTCAAGTGAGGACCATGTCCATGGCAATAAACACTAAGGCCTGTTTCCCAAGATACCAGAGATTGATTTATGTGATGCACTATCAGAACAAGAAATTCTCTAACACTCTGACCAGAAGAAACAATGCATTGTATTTTAAGGACTAATCTGTTCCTAATATTTTTGTGAAACACTTTAGACTTGATTCTTCATCTAAAACTGGAAAATAAGTTTGAAAGAAGACAAAATTGAATTCAAAGAATGAGACACTTCTGCCATCTGTCCATAGTGATCTGATCCAATCAATTTATATATTTAAATACATATTATTGATATTATATATATTATATATTATATCAATGTTATGTCAATATTATATATATCAATAATATTAATATTAAAATTCTTGATAATATATAATATAAATATTAATAATTACATTATATAATAATTATATAAAGTAATATAATAACATAACAAAAAGCAAATGCAATATATTCTTCCTCTAGCACAGAAGGTAGATAAATAGCATATTAATATAGTTTACTTTGTATTTTAAAAATAGAATGTACAATACTTGTATATTATAAAAATATATAAATTATATAATTCAGTGAAATTTAGCTAAGAACTATTTTTAAAGGGAGCTATTTCAAGTTACATTTAAATTATGTGTGATAAAAATTATTTATGGAATCTAAACAGAAAATAAACCACATACAATCTACACCCAGTACACTCCTATGAGCAAAACTACCTTCCATTCAATGTGGGAAGCTATACACAGACTTTATAATACCAGTATTACCTTTGATTATTTCTAGATTTCACCCTCATAGCAACCTCCCTACCCCAAAAAGAAAATTTCAATCTAAGTTAAATATCAAATCAAAAAGTTTTAAGAAAGATTCTTGCAAATCCCTTGATTCTGACTTCTGAAGTGCACTGAGATAGTCATAGTTCTTATATGTATTCAATCTAGCACCTACTCCAAATGCAGCCTTACACAGGCTCATATTACGCTCAGAAGAATCACTGAGTGCATATCCAACCCTTGAATATTAACAGCAGTCACCAATAAGAGATGAGATTGTGGACAACCTTATTTTCCTCTTCATACATTTTCCTAACTTCCTGATTTTTTTAATGAGCACAAATTACACCTATAAGCAGAAAAACATGACTAAAGCTCTTCATATAAAGAGCATATATATGTAAGTTGGTAAAACTATGACTGTGAGTCATAAAACGTTCATATTAACATATGATTGTTGCAAATTGCATCTACTTTTTAACAGAGATTGAAAGGTGTACAGGATGGCAAGAGACCCAAGTTTCCATACCTGGATCTCATACTATCTATGTGGGTGCGTGCTGCAGTGGGATGCTTGACAGACAGAGAGCAGGCAGCTATTCTGGGCCTAAAGAACAGCAGGGATGCAGTCCTGGGCGAGGATGTGGGATTGGGGAACAAAGGGCCAGGAGATGGCTTGACTCCCACGAAGGTATGGGCAAGAGGGGAGTGAATGAGGAGGTGAGGTGGGTGGGAGCAAACTGGCTGGCAGCCCAGGCAGCAAGGAATAACAGAGTACAGGAGGCAGGGGAAAGCAGGAGGTAAAAGTTAGGGAAGTCTATGAGCAGGTCATAGCAGCAAAAGGCTGTGCTTATGGGGCTCAGGATGCAAACAAAGCCAGAGGCCTTGCAGAGGACGTGGTTCAATGCCCCCCATTTCACAAATGGGGAAACTGAGGTCTGAGGCTAGGTAGCTCTCCTAAGGTCATACCTAAGTGAGTGACATAGCCAAGGGATTCAGCCATGTAATATGTAAGACTCAAAAAGGGGACAGATGGGAAGAGAGTAAGTTCTAGCTTTGCAATGGGGGCCGTGGGTCTCAGGCCCATTAGTTAGGGCTGAGTAAAGGACTGAGGCTTGGACAAATAATCTTGGTGGACAAATAGGTTTGTGAATAATTTTCAGAAAGGCTATAAGCAACCTGTGAAAACTCAGTAATAATGTGTTCATTAGTGAATGCGTCTAGCAATTTAGCAATTTTCTATGTCAGAAATTATAGAATACATAAAAATAAATAAAATTTAGAAAGAAATGACAGAATACATTGTTAGCTCATATATTAGCAATTATTGTGAATTTCAGCTGTGAGACAAAAAAAATATAAATGTTCCTTGGCAACCATACACTAATATGCTTAATCTATAATTGTTTACCTCATATCCAAGTAGGTGGGAGACATAGGAGACTGAGTATATTAGGTACATACAGAAATGTATACATCTGAATTAAAAGTGAGACATTTCAAAACTATGGTTTGTAAAATAATCATGTTTGGAAAAAGCATTTTAAGTGGATTTTTTTCACATTTTCTCTTGCATTTGACATGATGTTTCAACATAGCTATGAGACATGAAGAAAGGATTCCTCTCTAGCTAATACAAATCAGAAAATACTTAGTATTCATTTAGTAATTCATCAGATAATGGCTATAGCATGATTTTTTGCACCCTGGTCATTAGTCTATTTAATAATTGGGGTTAACTTCTAACAAAATGTCTGTTATTTCAATCACTTTATTCCCACAGTACAGTTCAAGACTATGCCCCTTATTCTTAATTCTACTGAATAGTGAAAAAGAACAAGGAGCAATTTCCAGCTTATTGGGTTAGGCATTTGAGAAGGTACCCCATGTTACAATTTCAGAGAACACTGGTGCATTGAAAGCTCATGACTTAGGGTCTGGGAGTGACTAAAATACCAGAAAGGTCCATGCCTTATTCTCAAGGCACTTAGCCCTGTATTCAGTCACCTATATTTCTTTTTCCTGATTTACATTTCCACAAAACACTGTTCACAATGCATAGTAGACTTTGTACAAAATGTCAGCTTAGAGTGCCTTTATCTTCTACTAAATATTCATATATATTTCATGTTATTGAAAATAGAAAGTCATTCCAAAATTTGGATCTTGGCTTTTAAAGTTTATCATAATCTTGCAGTCTAGCCTAAGTGCTCTTGTGAGCATTAGCTCATTTAATCTTCACAACAATCCTAAAAAATAGCTACTACTATTAACTCCAATTTAAGGAGAAGAAACTGAGGCAGAGAGAGGATAAGTAAATTGCCCAATGTCACACAGCAAGGAAGTAGGGGTGACAGGATTTGACCTCCAGTGATGCAGCTAGACTGTTTTCCTATCATTGCCTCAGACATGCACACATTTATTCAAAAAACTTTTAATAGATTTTAGAAAATAATGATAATATCACACCATTTCTATAATATAGTCTTTTGTATCCTATCCATCAGACTAATAATTGGAAACCATTTACAATAAAACTTTCATTATTTCCATCACTAAATCCCCATCGAAAAACATTCAAGAGTGGCTGATGCCCTTATTCTGAGGTGACTTTTCAGATGATCTGGATGACGTATTTTTTCTAGTCCTTAGCATAAAAATTCACATAAGGTGGAAACCACATGCACACATGCATACACATACACACAGAGAAACAGACCACATATCATCCCTAAGAGTAATTAACACAAATATTAGCACATCTTCAGAGATAAAATTGTAGACCATTTCATAGGCAATAGGAATCCCTCAAAATTTTTTTTAAATAATAATTTAAAAAATCACCTCAATGGGTCTTAAAGTCTGTTAAGAGTGTTATGTAAAAGTGATAAAATAAGTAACCAAAGCTAAACAATGTAAACTTTCCAAATTCTCTGTGATTGTATTACTTCCTACTTTCAGATTAAGGTCTGAATTTTAGAAACCAACTTTACTGAATAACTCTTAAACAACTAACCAAACCACACATGCAGAAAAACACTGCTAAAAGGCAAATCATTATCTTGACATCAACACAATAATATCAGAAATACTCATAGCTGACAGAAGTGCCTTAAACATGTGGTACATAACAAGGAATTAGTAACATATGGACATAAATACAGGGAGAAATCATTCATGATTGTTTTCTCTCCAATTGCAATGAAAAAATATATGACATTCAATATATTTGACCTTCCAGCATTTTTCATTATTGAATGTGTTTTCAAGCTCAGATCAAAAAAAGTTTATGTTTTTTTTAGCAATATAGTAAACGTTTATGGGTAACAATACTTCCCAATCAAAAATCCTTTAAGCAATTGTATGCTATGTCTCCATTCTCACATATTACGAAGCACAAGTCAATCAGTAGACATTTTCAGGGAATTCTAATACAAGAAAAATACAACATAAAACACCTTTCAGTCATAATTGCAATTCAATAAATGATTTAATTTGATTCAATGCCCGTTTTCCCGGTATCTGTAATAGAAAGCATCATACTAGACAAGGCAAGGCAGAGAGAATTCCTAAGTGCTGCCCTTCAGAGTTTACAGTTACTGGGACAGAGAGGCATACAAGCAAGTACCTCTATACAAGAGGATAAAATACATGCACCAGGAGTGAAGTGCCTTGGAAATGGAGTGGAAGGGAAATCCATTCTAACTGGAGGAGAGGGAAGGAGGAAGAAGAGGAGATTATAAGGGACTCCTTAGGGGTATCTGATCTGAGCCTGGTGGGACAAGCAGAACTTCAACAGGCACAAAAGAGGTGGATAAGGACATTCCCAGCCCCCAGGCTGGGGACAGCACAGGTAAAGGCACAGAGGCTGGCAGGCAGGAAGCCAACGTGGGGACACAGTCTGTGCAGAGGAATAGAGGAGGCATTACAATGGCCTGATGCTGTTAGCATCACATTCCACCCTTATTTAAAGAAAAAAGAATATCTAAAGCCAAAAATGAGAAAAGGAATCATTTCCTAAAATAGACTCCCAAACTTTAACATATGTGTGGCTTCTCCTTGTAAATAAATAATGGAAAATAGAATGGCGTGCATTAAACTTTCAAAGTATTCTGTGCAAAAATTAATGTGCACAAAACATAGTCTTGTTTGATGAGGTTAAAAAAGATTTTAAGCAGTACATTATGGTAGGCAATGGCAACATAAATATCTTCAAATGATACTGGCACATTATAAACAGAAACTACATTAACGATTGAGTTCCAAATTTATGTTTCACTCCTCGCCAAATTCAAAACTATAAATGTGTGCAATATATTGTCTCAAATCAATTGCCCAAGGCATGCTCCCCTCCCACAGAGGACCTAAGTACTAAATAAATAAATAAATAAATAACTTGGGATGTAGTTTACATCTTGCATTTTGGAATAACAGCCAAGGAGAAATATGCGCTGTCAGGCTCTTGCTTCTCCACAGTTTCCGGCACAAATATCTTCAACTCTTCAAAAGCTTAATTTATCCAATGACGCCCCCAAAGCACACTTTGCACACACGAAAGCTTCTGCATTACCAAAGCAAGGCGTGGCAAGGGTCGATCAGAGACATTTCATCTGGCAACGGGAGTTACCAGTTGAATCAAATGACATCGTGTGGGGCGGATCCGGAAGTGCTGATGAAAAATGGGAACAAGAGACAGCTGCTTTCACTTCGGACATGGTCCCCAGTCTTATGTGAAAGGGCTTTGAGTAACGCAAGTTTCTCCTGGACCTTGGCCTGGGTATCGTCAGCGCTTGGCACAGCCACGGCCGTGGGCCAGGCCGACTGGTCCTCCTTGGAGCTGCAGAGAATGTCCGGGCCGCTGAGGAGGAGCGTCCAGTCAGAATGTAACTGCCTGCCCCACTCGTGCTTTACTATGATTGTGTTGCTGTTTTTCATGGCCCCTGAAAAGAAACAGCACAAAGGTGGGCCTCAACCACAGCCTCGGTGCAGGCCGCGGGGGGCCTGCTCAGAACGCCTTCCGGGGTGTGCCGAGACCATGTGACAGCCGCACAGCGCACGCAGGTCGCGGGTCCGTTCCACAAGGACTTACCTTGGCGGATGAACGTTTGGCTGGTGTCCAGCAAGATGTCACAGCCCTCCACGATCATTCTTTCGATGGCAAGGTTTTTCCTTATGTTTTCAGTGTCACTCACTTCATCGTGCATTACTCTGTCGGACACAGCACAGACAGGGTCACAGTGAGAGAGATCTTCTGTTGCCCTAGCAGGTAGGCAAAGAAGAGCTCGGAGATCCGAGAAGCTCGGTTTCCAGCTTGTATCAATTGAACTGGGGGCTTGGGGAAAATAGGCTGGATCTTTCCATGCTTCGACAGGTCATGACCCAAAGCAAGGCCAATGTGCCTCATGATTCTACAGGGTAAGTGGGTCAGCAATGACCAGCCTCCCTGGGCATGTCTGCTTCTAAGTGCGGCGGGAAAGCAACATGTTATTTTGTGGACAGTCTTCTCATTGAAATTACGGGGCCATTTCTTGGAGGCAGACTAAATAAGAGACCTTTAGACCATTTATCCATGTTAGCTAAAATAACATAGGCATAAATAAGTGCTTGTAACAATGAAAAGTCACTGAGAAATGCAAACTGTACCTTCTCTAGCTTCTTGCTAAATATGAATACAAAATGCAACTGAGAGTCTATTTTGTTGAGACAGGGTCTGGCTATGTTGTCCAGGCTGGTCACAAACTCCTGGGCTCCAGTAATCATCACCCGCTGCACCCTCCTCTCAGCCTCCTGAGTAGCTGGGACTACAGATGTACACCACCACACCTGGCTATCATTTTTTTTTTTTTGAGATAGAGTCTTACTGTGTCACCCAGGCTAGACCAGTGGCATGATCTCGGCTCACTGCAACCTCCGGCTCACTGCAACCTCTGCCTGCCAGGTTCAAGTGATTCTCCTGCCTCAGCCTTTTGAGTAGCTAGGACTACAGGCATGTGCCACCACACCTGGCTAATTTTTTGCATTTTTAGTAGAGACGGGGTTTCACCATGATAGCCAGGATGGTCTCCATCTCCTGACCTCAGGATCTGCCCGCCTCAGCCTCCCAAAGGGCTGGGATTACAGGCATGAGCCACCGCACCTTGACCATTTTTTTTTTTAAATACTGAAAGAAACATGAACATTTCCAAAGTTAAACCAAAATATGCCTAATCTGAATTACATAAATTCACATGCTATAAGAACATTTTCCAAGATACGTATTTTTCTTGGTTAAAATGAATGTGAATAATGTTCAATATCACCTCACGAGCTAGTATTTAACTTTCAGGTGAATCTGAGAAGCTGGATTTGTTTTGCTTCTTGTTCCTTGGAACATACACAGGAGGTTTCCACAAGGGACTAACTTGCTGCTTTCCTCTCCCAAGCCTTTCTTATAAGTTCTTGGCATACCTGGACAGTTCCTCTAGCTTTGATTTGGCAAACTCCAGGCTTTTCCTTTCCACATGCTCATGGGGTGTGTGAGCAAGGAGCTCATGCAGTGTGATGATGTATCTGGGGATCTAGATGCAAACAGAGGCTAGTGTGAGCAAGACATCAGGGTGGGTGACCGGATACATGCTCTGCAGGGCCACCATTGCTTCCAGAAGCTTGTCTCTACACTCCCACTTTTGACTGTTTTCCATATTTTATAAAATAAATACAAATAAAATGAACCATAATTCACATTTCATGCACACCAAAGACTTCACCAAGAACACATAAAAAGGTGGAAATTATTGAAGTGTTATAGTACAAAGAGATGATTGTTTCTTTAATATTTTAAATATAATCATGTACTTTTGAATCATAGTTTCAGAGAGAAACAGATACAGCTGTCATCAAGTCACTTGATTGTGTATTTTAGATATATTAGTACATTTGCAATGTTTTTGAATCAACAATCCCACTGCACTATTCTAAGTATTAAAACTTGAGAGAAGACATGTTCACCTTTATTATTTTCTGTTTCTGCTTTATCTCAATTCACCTCCTTGCAGTAAAAAGTATTGTTTAATTAGAGTATTTATCGGTACCTTTATTAACAGACTATCTGAATTTTGTCAAAGACAGAAATTCCACCAACTCAAGGAAGATCGTAATAAACCATGATAGAGATTGAACTTAATTTACAGTGACACAACATATTTATTGTGGGCTTAATTTTCACAATAGCATGCATGAACATTTACCACAACACTACCCACTGGGGGTGAGACTGGGTGCTCCAGGCTTTGCCAATGTGTCCAATCCTCCAACACCATAAGGATTATTTCTCCATTTTACAGATAGAGAACTCAAGTGGGAAGAAGTTTGGTAACTTGCCCAAACTTGCCCCAAAGGTGGCCCCACGGTAAATAGCAGTGTCAACTATAACCCCAGCTCTAACCAGCGCACTACCTTCTCTCAGAGCTTGCCCTGGGGGTGAGGCGCAGGGGGCGGGGAGAATGAGGTCTCACTCAGCACTTGAAAGGACCTCTGAGAATGAAGAAACTAAAACGGCTTTCCAGGGCCCTGTGTGCGGTTTCTTCTTTTTTGTCCTGAAAGGTCAGTGGCCCTGCCTAGGGATCTGCTTTTGCTCTTTGCAAGTAAGTGGTGGCTTTCACTGGGCTATTTACCAATATTTATTAAGTGTCTCCATTTACACACTATGCATAGACAAAGCCACCATTAGCACAGACACTGAACTTCAGCTCTGGGACCTTGTCCTAAGGAATGTCATCAGATCAAGGTTTCAGGAAGCACAGATAGGCCCCCTTCATCATGGGAGGGTGGGATACAGGAGAACTCTCCCTTTGTAGGCTATATGGAGATTTTCTGCTCCTTTTCCCGTGAATTTCTCACTAAGACAGCCCTTAGGGTTGTCCCACTTGATAAAGTTTCCTGGGATAAGTGTGCTTTTGTTGGCATAATTGCATGACTGATAAGAGTTTGCCTCTAATTAGTAGTTCCACAAGAAAATCAGGCCATTAATAGCTATCGTACTCAATTTTTCATAGCAAAGGGGACAGGTGCAGGAAAGCCAGAGTACTTACAATGCAATGAAAATCCATAAAACTGAGTTTGGTCAATTCTCATTACTTGCATTTCTTTTAAAGTGCTCCCTGGCTAAGATTCAGGTAGATGGATTTGAGTTCAGTCTCTGGCCCTTTCCACTTTATGGTGAAGGAACAAACAAGCACGGGAACTGCCAAAAAGCAGGTAAACAAAGTTCTGCGAGAAGTGAACAGCTCTCCAAAGGGCTCATCTGTATCTTCAAGAGCTGATTATAAATCTCTTCTCCCAAAACCAAGAATCATAGGAGCTGTCTAAATGAACCATAATTCTGCTTTCAATTATGGAACAGATACTTGTCACTTTATAGACATTAATTAGCTTGCTCTCCAATTACAGTAAATAAATGGATAGAATAGCAAGTAGCTACTTTCTGGAGAACATCTAACACTACTGTTCTTGTCAGGAGCAGATTTCACGATCGGCTTACCAGTGGACTTTCAACACATACATAGCCAGATAAATACATGAGCAGCTGAAGCCAATTTAAACAGTACCAGCCAAGCCACTGTCTTTAATAAATAAAAATTATGTTCACGACAACATTATTTTCCATAACGAATTTCTTGGCAATACTTGGACTTACTGTTCTGATAGTTCAACTGGGGATAATTTTACTGCATCATCCAAATTCTACAATTTCTCCATGTTTCCACTGTACAACATAGCTTGATAACAGCAGTAACTGACGAACTCAAAAAAGGGCCCAGAAGGAGGAAGACAATCACCTTCTCTGTTCTGCACATATAAGCTAAAGGCTTCCAATCACCTCGCCTCCTCCCTCTGCCCCTACACTAACTTCTGCCTCTGTATCTGGGCTCAAGAAAGTCTGGCCAGAGGTCCCTTGGCAGTATAGAGTCACCTCTTCCATTGTTGGCCTCCTGCAAAAAAAAAAGTGAGAGCCCTAGCCTCATCCTGAGTGAGGGTATCCATCCTTACAAGGGAGCAAAGCAGATGTGCAGACGCACCACTGCTAATACAGAGGGAAGCAGATGCATCCGGACGCTCCAAGAGATCAAACACTTCCATGACTATTTCACTTCATTAGTGAAAGAACCACAAGGGAACAAGAAGGATAGGGTCAGCTTAGTAAGGAAAAAACCTCCCAGCTTCTAAAAAAGACAATTTCCCCCAAATTCTTCCTAAGGTTATTTCTAGAGAGAAGGCAGAAAAGCAAGGCATCAAGTGAAGAAGACCGAAGGGAGACACCAAGGAGCATGAGGCCCTTGGGCAGAGAACTCTAATGACTTCTCCTGGTCTACTCAGAAGTTATGGGGAAGCAAACAAAGACAATTCCAGGCTCTTTCAATTTGCTCATTTCTTGCAGTTGGACAATTCTGGCTAAATTCTTTGAGGCTTCTTCCAGAGCAAAGGCTCCCACAAGCTGAAGCTTCTGGTTATACTTGTCTGGCAAAAGCCAGAAAGCCTCAGTATCTGACCCAACATTCTACGGTTTGAGGTCACCACATTCTTGGGAAGGGGGGTCCTAGATTAACACCAGGCTCCTTGTAACATCACATAGTCACCCAACCGGAAGTATCAGAACCATTGCAGTTGCCCTAGGCTCACCAAGTCAGAGGGCTAGAGAGTCTGGAGATAGCTAGAGCTCAGCTGCCTCAATTTAGAAATTAAGAAATAGCTATTTAGTTTGATTCAATTATTTTTCCCAATGCTATGACTGAAGGGTGAGTGAGACATCAGGTCTTTTAAAGATTCGTAGTCCAGTGTTCTTTTTACGACATTATAAAAATTCCCTGGATTCAATCAAAATGCTCAGTCATTGCTATCAGACTTCATCTTCAGGAGAGGAAGGAAAGGGTGGTGGGTGAGTATCCCAGCACTTTAAAGAAATCCAAAGACCTTTCCAAGTTCCTACATTCTGCTGTATTTGGACACCTCATCTGCAGTGAAAGTGTAGTTCTGCCATTTCAAAATACTGAGGAAATCACACCAAGAGGGAATGAAACAGCACGAAGAAAAGATATCAGTGGGCTGTCAGATAGGGAGCTGGGTTCCTCTCTGAATGTCCCATGGGTCTTTCACAACTCTACCTTTGTATAGTCAACTGACTTGGGGTTACTGAACAGATGAAATTTGGGGTACTGAATCATAACTTAGAGATAACTGTCAAAAATTCACATAGAATCTCAGAAGAATATTATACCATATAAAATGTTTCATTGTAAATAAAATCTTAAGTTTCAATTATGTAAATAGATTTTTTTAAGTCTGAAATTTTTCTTGTGAAATATTTCCTCAGAGAGGCAAAGAGTTCAAACAATTCGGTTCCAAGGACGAAAAAAAAACAAAAACAAAAACACTATAAAGTTTCACTATACTTAAGTGGTTTGAAATGCATCCTTTCAGTTAAAAACCTGACTAAACTTCTATGGCGACTTCCAGGATTTCGAGCCGGCCTGACAAACTTTAAGGCAAACAATTGTGCACCACAGCCACATTTCTTTCTGAGGCTGCAAAATGATTAGCCAGGGTCAGAGATGCTGCTCAGGAGGACAAAGCACTCCACAGTAACCATAACACACATGATTAGTAGAATTGGTTTACCACATGACAATTTGGAGGCCTGGCCAGAAGCCACCTAAATTCCACAGTGGGAACACTCAATGCTCTTCCAAAAGAACAGAATCAACACTTTTCCAAAGAACAGGAGATTCAATGCACATTTTGGCCTCCCTGGTTCTCACTCCTGGGCTCTTAACAGTAAAACCCTAGGCCAGGAAAGAATGGCAGTGTTCTTCACCCTTTGGGTTGCTCTAGCCTCAAAAAGGGAGCCCTGGCGGCCACCTAACTAGTTGCCCAGGTCCAACCCCAGCCTTCCGTTTCCTAAGTCTCCACAGCCTCCGTGACCAGGGAGGTCCTCCTTTTGTTCTCCAGAGCTCCAGCCACGGGAGACTCAACAGCAACCGCAATAGGGCGGGAGGATGGGCCGGAAAACAACAACCTTCCCAGCAGCCACTCCATCCCCAAGAATCTTTTATGCAACTAGCATAAACTGGAACATTTGCACAGAATCCTATTTCTGTAAACCAAATAATATTTTTAAACATGCTGGAGGAGGAAACTCCATGAAAGAGGTCTGTGTGGAATCTTTCTGTAAAGAGAAAATTGTGCAGTGTTTCAAAAAATCATTCTTGAATTCTTTGCTTCAAAAATGCCTGGTTTTCTTACATCCATGAGACACAGAGAATGTGTGGCACAATATTTGTTTATCTCAGGGTCAAGCTCAAGACAGCAACAGATGATACATCTGTGCCATAATTCCTCCCAGGGCATACTTACACATCTCACGCTGCTCACTCTAGGTTCAGTGACATTGAGCTGGAACCTCTGACTTACAAAATGCATCCCAGGTTGTCAGAATCTCCACCTGCGGGAGTCCCTCCTACAGACCCTGACTCAGCCATGGATGAGTAACAGTCAAACACAGAATACAAGAAAAGTGAGCTGGGGTGTCCAGGGCCAATCGCTCACAGCAGTTAATGACAGCCCCTACTCCTGGCTTTTATTTAGTATATCAAAGGACAAGGGTCTTTAGATAAACACCATTAGAGGGTAATTAACTTCTGCAGACACCCTGAGTAGAAGGCAGTTAAGCACCTGCAGATGATCAAAGGTTTTGCTAACGGAGGTGGGGGGTAAACAGATTTATCTGGAGAAACTTCTTTTACAATTTCTAGCATTTACTCTACTGTCCTAATGCCCTAGGGTAAGAGCCTGCTGGCTTCGACACATTAAGTCATTATAAGCTATGTAAACCTTTGGCCTTCCAAGAAGGTTTCTTACTATTCCCTAAAGCTATCTCTAATATTTTTGCTTTAATATTTTTGCCACCACACTGAGTGAACCCCCACACCAAGTGACTCACCTGAAACATTGGATAGGTCAAGAATGTTTCCAGCATCCTCCCCTCACAGGCCGGATTGGCTTCATACTGTTTTAAGAGTTTGTCAAAATCTCTGTTTTGCTTACAATTGGCGAGAACTTGGAGGCTGTACTGGTGATTACGCACAAATTCTTGATAAATGTTCAGCATGGGGAGCAAAATATCAAATAGATCAGCTGGAAAGAAACGATAAACATGGCTGTTTCCCTTGGCACTTGGTAAATTACCTACACTCAGCAGAGATGGCAAAGAGTGGATCCCAGCACCAGGTGTCACATATGCATGGAGCTGCAGCCCTGATCCCTGAATGATGATCTGGTAGAATGCACTTGTGGGCAGTAGTTGACTCCAGCCCCAAATTAACTAGGAGAGGCCAGGGGAAAGAGTCAAAGGTAACTACTGAGGCAGGGCCCAAAGTACCCAGAAGCAAGGAGACAGAGAGTCTTGGGGTACGGAAGCTCACAGGTCAACAGGGTAATGCAAACAGCTTAAACTGAATAATGTTGGAGCTATTTTACTCTAATTGCAGCCGTTCTAACAGAAAATCTTACATCTTTAAAGAATGCACTTACCTAAAATTAAAGTGGGCCAGTTTGCTATCCTTGCCTTTAGTCCTTGATGAAATATTTCATGAAGAAACATGATTGTTTCACTATAAAAAATGGAAAAATAATTTAGTTGCTATATGGTGTTTATTTTGTTTAAAATCCACTGAGTTCTTAAAGCCTTAATATATACAGGTTACTCTGTCCCATAGGGCCTCCAAACTATATGCATTAATAACATGGATTATGCTATCCTCTACCAAGCAGTTCTGACAGTCTCAGCAAACCCTGATGAAAGCTTCAAATATTAGAGGACAGAAAGCACCAAATCATTGTCACACAATCTTCTTCATCAATTTGTAAGCGAATTTTCTGCTATTAGAATGCAGTATTTCAATCAACAATCAGAAAATTCAAGTTATGACCCTCTTTTCTTTTCATATGTGATTCTAGATAACTCAGGAGAAAGTGTCTGTCAGTAAAATGAGTTTTGACAGGAGAGAGGATGAAGAAAAATCTAGAGCAAAAATTTTGACAGAACTCCACTATAACCACTCCTAAGATATCCAAGACAGAAACGCAAAAGAATCTTTTGAAAAGAGTGAATCCTACACAGAGACACTAAAATAAGGACGATGCATAAATTAGGGATCTAAATTCTTAAAAGGGCCAAGAAGGGGGTAATTACCAAAGTCAAAACATCATTTGCTTTCTCCTCACTGTAATTAACCTACTGCAATGAGCCTTTGAAGCCTTTTCTGAACTAACACAGTGACACACAACCAAATACAGAACTATTAATCTCAATGAAATACCTTGGCTTGTTATTAGTCAAGTTCCATTATAGCAGACACCAGGAAGTCCTTACTATTTCATATGGTCCACGAAATGAAACAAAAATGGCTCTATAAGACTCTAATTTGTTTTTCTTTTATAACAATTTTAACTAAGTAGTGTTTGTTCTTCAAGGATTTCAACCAAATCTAGTTTGGCAGGTATTACAGATTAGTCATTGAATCTGTATTCTAAGCCCCTAGGTGGAGAGGGGTAGAACTAAAACTACATTTCCCAGGCTCCCTTGCCACTATGGTTCTGGATGTAAATTCAGTTACACTAATAGATGCTCTTGGAAAGACAAGGAAGGCAGAAGTAGGGGCCATCTTCCTGTTGCTGAAAGTCAGTCATGAAGACGTGAGTGCTTTAGGGCAATGTCGGCACCCAGCCTCAGGATTCTAGTTTCTGGGAACGAGTTTCCCAAGTCTGAGAGGCATCTGTGGCGGCAGCAGTGGCAGCAGTGGTTTCCTAACCTCTGGATCACATCCATGGTGCTGTTCTCTGAAAGTCAACAGTTTAAGGGCTGTTCCTTGACTTTATTCCCCCAGCCTTTCCAACAGATTCTGTAAACAATGAATTCCCTCCACTCAGAGAGGGTTTTCTCTGTCCTATGTTGAACACAAACTAAGTGATATGTCTGTTTTCATACTTTGATACCTGGATGGTTAGAAAACAGATAAAACAATTCTGTATATAAATATGAAGACTACATTTTCTTAACTATAAAACTGTGTTGAAATTCAGAATTATTGACCTGTCTAGGGCTTAATTTCAAAGGCATGTAAAGGGAATCTAGTTTACAGCAATGATATAAAACTTCTTTGAACCTCACCTGTATAAACATACCTCTTCACATTATGTAAAGTGAAATAAGCCAGGCACAGAAAGACAAATATCACATGTCCTCACTCATATTAGAAAGCTAAAAAAGTTGATCTCATGGAGGTAGTGAATAGAATGGTGGTTACCAGAGTCTGGGAAGGGTAGTAAGGAAGGGGAGGACGAAGAGAGGGTTTAGTGAATGGGTACGACAGTACAGTTAAATAGAAGGAATAGCTTCTATTATTTGACAGCATAATAGGGCAGCTATAGTTAACAATAATTTATTTAAAAATATCTAGAAGATGTAGACTGTTCCCAACACAAAAAAATGATAAGTGTTTGTGGTGACGGATATCTCAGTTACCCAGATTTGATCATTGCACATCGTATGCTTATAGTAAACTACAACATATACCTCATAAATATGTACAGCTATTATGTATTCATTCCATATAATGTATATGAATTATGTAACCATAAAATATATCCATAAAAATTAAAAATAAAAAAGTTTTAAAAATATCTCATCAAATTTCCATCTGGGTCTAGGTGTGGTAAATAATTGCTAGTCTATATGATGGGCTTATGGCTTCACCTTCCAAAGAGAGGCACATCTTGACTCTGAATTTAAACAATATGATAAACCTGGCCTTTGCTGTTTCAAATCAAACAATCCAGTGGAAACAAAGAACCAGAGGCAACCTAAACCAATGTGGCACAGCCTCTTTATTTACCTCTAGGTACCACCTTGTTTCTCTGTTCCTTTTTATAGCAGCCCTCTTCAAAATAGTTTTCTATACCCAGTCTCTCCAATTCCACTCATCAGAGTGCAGTACACAGTCCCATCCACTGTCATCAGACCTATTGAAACTGCACACTTCATGACTGAAGTCTCACCAGAATACGGCACTGCCTGAGGATCAAGAGCTACCCCCTGGTTCCTTCGGATGTCTCACATACGTGAGAAGAGCCATTGCCAGGAAGGTGGGGAAATCTCCTTCCTTCCTTTTAACAAAAGAAAGCCTAGCTTTTAATCTCATATTATCAGACTACCAGTCATCACCCTTCCTTTCTGCACTCATCTACAGGCACGCCAGTGGCTCTTCCTGATGCCCTGAGATCTGAGCTCTCAGCTCACGGTTGCTCTTTTCTTCAGTATTACTCTTGTCATAATTCTTGGGGACTCTAATATGCACACAAACAACATTTCAATATCCTGGCCTCACAGGCCCTTGAACAACTCCTCCAAAAATCTTGTCCTCCATTGACCTCAGTCAACACACCCTTGACTGTAATCTAGACCTTGTCATTGTCAATAGCTGCGTCTCTTCCCTATTTCAGTTTCAACCACATTCTCTGACTACTCCTAATCTTTCAGTTCACTGCCTTTGGAACCCTGACTCCAAAAATTCTTTCACAATACGACCTAAATCCCCAGATCCTACCACCTTTTTATTGGCCACAACCCTCTCATATCGCATTACTTTCTCTCCTTAGTTTAGATTTCATGGCTCATTGTTAGAATCTCTTCCTTGCATACACCTTCAACTTCCTTATTCTTTTCTCACTTCATCACAGCAGCCACAACACCAATCCTAATTAATCCCAATCCTCCACCCACTCTGCACCTGCATCCATGCAGCTGAAAGCAGCTAAAGAAAAACATGCAACCATCCTGACTGATCTCACTGTGAAGTCATAACCACTAGCCTAATTATATAAAGCAGCAGGCTCTTGGTGCTGCCCAGCACTAATACAACACTGCTGAATCCATTTACTCCCCTTCCCTAGTTATCGCTATTTCACTATAGTCTCTCTTCTCCAGCTCCGACACTTCCCTCCCATCTGCCCCATCAGCGGATGTCCTTGCCTCCTAACTACAGAAGTGTCCATGTGCTACTCCTGCCCTGCCATGCTCCCAGCTAATGACAATCTCTTGACCTGTGCAGTACATTCTGTCCACTTTCGCCTTTGCAAGTTTACTGCTCAGCAATTCCCTCTCTCCTCCATCCTTCTTTTGCCTTCTTCATTTGCCTCTGGGTACCATCCTGTTTCTCTTCTCCTGTTTACAGCAGCCCTTTTCAAAAGAGTTTTCTATACCCACCCACTTAAATTCCTCTTCCCCGCACCCCACCACCTGTTCTCTCCTAGGCCTGCAACCAGGCTTTGGTCTCTCATCAAAGCTACCAATAAACTCCGCGTGGTGGAACCCTTGGTCAATTCTAAATTACTGCTTTTTTGACCATTTTGGCATTGTTGTTGTTTCCCTCTTGCTTTTGTTTCCAGGACAACTCGCTCTTCTGGTTTTCACTGACAACTCAACAGATCCCCTTCACTCTTCTTTGCTGGCTCCTGTTTATCTTCCTGACTTCTAGATGTTGGATTATCTCTGGGCTTAGTACTTACTCCTCTTCTCTTATCAATCTATATTCACTTGCTTGGTAATCCCATCCAGATTAGCAGCTTTAAATACTATCTGTATGCTAGAGGACTCCCAAATTTCCATCTTCAGCCCAGAATCTTCCTCTGAACTCCAAACCAATATTCAATCCTTGCTCACTTGACATCTCCATTTAGATGTCTAATAGCATCTCATACTCAACAGATCCAAGAGAAAACGGTTAACCTTTTCCCCTCAGCCTGTTCTTGACTCAAGCTTTACCATTTAGCAAACAGTAAGTCCATCCTTCTAGTTGTCCAGGCCAAAAATCATTGCAATCTTATCTGTCTTTTTGCTTTCTCTTAAAACCCATATCAAACCCATGAACAAATCCTACTGTTGAGTCCTGATGGATAAGTAAGCAACAAGGAAGGGGCCCCAGGTGGGGGAAGGTTCCAGGTAGGGGAGAATAATGAACAATTCTTCTAAGAAACACAAACAACCCACTGGCACAAGGAATGACCTCTTCCACACCTAGCCCCCTCTAGCACGACCCTATAAAACTTCCCTCCAGCCCCTGCCTCTCTGCAGATAGCCCCTTCTCTACTCTGCTGCCCATTGCACCCTTGCAACATGTGTTCACACATTCTCTAACGAATCTGCCTTGCTTTATCTACAACTGTTTTTGACAAATTCCATGACACTGGCCCCAGCTAGTTGCACCCGTAACATCTACTATCTCTGATTTAGAAATACACTCAGAATCCAACTACTTCTCACTGCCTCCATTGTAATCATCTCTTAACTTGGATTACTGAAATAGCTACCTAACAGGTGTGCCATCTCTCACTTTGTTTATTGAAATAGCCACCTAATTGATCTCCCTACAGACCATTCTCAGCAGAGAAGCCAGAGTGAGCCTTTCAGAACAGAAGTCACATCACACCCTTTCTCTGCTCAAAACCTGACCAATGTCTCCCCATCTCATTTAGAGTAAAAGCCAATGGCTGTACCATGTCCCACCTTGATAACTCCCTGGCTCTTCCCTTCACTGACACTGAGCAGGGCAGGTCCTCAAGCTGGCCTGCCATGCATGTCAAAGCCCCATGTCTGCAGCACGGGCAGCTCCCTCTGCTTGCCTCATTCTTCCTCCAGGAACCTCAAGCCTTTGCTCGAATGTCACCTTAGCCTTTTTGAAAACCTGCTATAAAAAAAACTATGGTACATTCACAGACTGTAACACCATGTAGTGATTTTTTTTTTAATAGAATGCTCTTTAGGTTTCAATATGCAAAGATCTTTGGGAAATAATGTTAAGTGAAAAAATGAAGTATATGTTAAAGTATATTGCCTTTGTGTAAGAAGAGGGAAAATAAGATTCTATATTCATATTTTCTTAGATCAAAATTGAAAAACACTGAAGGGATAGATAAGAAACTAGTACAAATATTAATGAAAGGAGGGGGAAATCAGGGGACAGAGACAGGGTGAGAGTGCAACTGCTAGCTGTTGTTTTCATGTTATTTTGACTTTTGAACCATGTAAGTGTACTATCTACCCAAAAACAAACAGCTACAATTCTAAGTAAAACACCTAAACCCCCGCTTGTCCCGCTTCTTCCCTTCCCTTCTTTATTTTTCTCCACAGCTCCAATCACCATGTAATATACTATCTATTTCACTAATGCTATTCATTGTCTATCTTCCTGCATCAAAATTTAAGTTCCATAAAGGCAGAGATTTTTGGATTTTTCACTGATGAATCCTCAGCAGTAAGGAAACTATAAAGATTTATTGAGCAAATACATTCACCAGAGATTCTCAGGCCCTGCCTTAGCTTTTGCTCTTCCTAAAATACTTGCATATAATCAACATGTTTAAATCACTCCATTTCCTTCAGTTCATGAGACAGATTATCTTCGCCAACATACACCTCCACACGATAAGTCAATGTATGTCAAATAGAGAAGAAAAAATGAAGAACATTAGATGCTAAGATTCAAGATAATGATACATACATTTATACTAACAATGGGACACAAATATTATTTGTTTTATTTTTTTATTTTTATTTTTATGATCAGAAACTTATAGAGATGAATTTATGAGACCTTTTTAAGATTCAGTAAAAATTCTTGTAAGAAATACAAAGGGGTTTTTCTCATGACTCTCTGATTTATGCAATGTCAAACCTGTTGAGGAAAATACTGCTGACGTCATCGTGGCTGATGGGAGGCTTCTTAGAGCTGGCAGCCATACGCAGGGGCCGGAGAAAGCCATTGACCAGGATGTAGAGCTGGTGAACGTACTCTGACTCTGCCTCCACCATGGTGAACACAATCTGGTTTCTCTTCCTCATACTTTCAGCATGAGGAGAACAAATGTAATCCTGCACGATGGTCTTCCATTTCCTTCTGCACAACCATCCTCGCATGAAGCTCTGGACCTACAGAACAAAAAACCAAAAGGGAATCTGACTACTTGCAATGGTGATTATTTTATGGAAAAGAACATGAAATATAATTAAAATCAATTTTGCAGAGAACATCATAGCCTCTAAAATTGATCAGAATTCCCTAGGGATGATGTGAAAAAGTACAGCAAGCCTGAGACAGTGCACAGGACTGTGTGTTTCAGCCAATCAACAAACACTTACTGATGATCTTTAAAATGCTCAGGTAAATGCTGGGCACTGAGCAGTCAAGCATATATTATAACCTTTAACTCAGAGGCACTGCCATTAACCAGCTTGCAACCACCTTGACCTCTGATTCTCTGTTTCTTCATCTATAAAATAACTTGACAGAGCTGGACACACAGAGGCCTGTAGTTGCAGACCTTGGGAGGCTAAGGTGAGAGGATCACTGGAGCCCAAGAGTTCAAGTCTACCCTGAACAATACAACAAGACCCCATCTCGTGTTTCTCTGTTTTTAATCTCGTGTTATCAGACTACTTACATTTTTCATAAAAATAAAATAGAATAACAAAAAAAATCTATAGTCCTTTCTAAATATAAAAAATTATAACATAATTAATTAGGATTTGTTTTATGATAATTAGGATTTGTCACTTTAGATGTGGCCAATTCAGCAACAAAGTAGGTTGTAAATTCACATATAATCGACAGTATTAAATCACTACCAAAGTATCATTATTATCTATTTAACACATCCTTACACTTTTTACTTTTTCTATGCTATATTCAAAATTATCATGTACTAAACAACGACCCTTCTTTTGCAATGTCTAAGATTCTCTTGTTTGCCTATCAGGGTTGTCACCATGTTATCAATTTTTATACAGGTGTTAAAGTCACTCTACCTCAATAAAAATTAACCACACCTTAACAGAATTATGTGGGGAAATTATATTCATATTATTTGAAAAAGCCTAACAAAAATTTCCATGAATTATAACCAATTTTAAATTTTAGTCTATTAAGGTAAAAAAATTATATTGATATTTGCCAAGATCAGAATAGAGAAATGATTAATTGTTAACACTTTTCTCCACACAGACATTATTTTGAATTGAGACATAAAGAACAACAAAGTTAATTTCAAAACCTATTTAACAAGTACAAAAATTGGTTTAAAAAATATTCCCATTAAGAAACAAAAACGTAGAAAATCTTTTTAAAATTTTATCAGTATTCCTTTACTTAACAGAAATATTTTTAAAAATCAACTTAACTGGATTTGCTGTTAAGTAACACCTTTCTATTTACTTGGGCAGGAGGTGCTTGCTGACCAATAGCCACTTCACTTATTCACTAATAGAACAGTTTCTACCACATACCTGAAAATTGAATTTTATTAATTTTTTGTTTACATGCAGCTGCCTACTGTAAAGGAAAGGCAGTAGAATTAATATGTTTCCAGGCTGACAAGATGGGATTTTTTGTTAAAAAAAAAAAAATCTTAAAACAGCATAAACCAGATTCAAATAAAAAATTTTAATTTCTAAGAAATGGATAGTGAATGAATATTTACTTTTTTATTTCTTGAAAACTGAAAACATTTGACTTAGTCCTAAGAATCATTTCTATTTTGAATTCTGAGCAATATTTAAAGTTGTAAAAAAGAACAAAAAATATAATTTTAAATCAATTTTGTAGAAAACATGATATCTGAATTCCATAGGGATGATGTGAAAAGGAACAGGCAAGCCTGAGAAAGTGCACGGGCCTGTGTGTTTCAGCCAATCAACAAACATTTACTGATCTTTAAAATGCCGAGGCAAATGGTGGCTACATTAAAGTTTTGTTAAAGTGGAAGGGGAATAATTATTAGCATAAAATAAGAAGAATAATAAAAAATTAAAAAGAAATAAGATTTGAAAATGTATATCCAGGGAAATTTCCTGAAATATGACACTTTTCACATATCAACAAAGCTGAGTAAGTGCTTTATATAAGACTATCAAGATCATGGGATCAAAACCTAAATGACAAATCAAAACACAGTGGACTAGAATGAGAGCCAGGGTCTGGTTCACTGCAAAAGTTGTGCAATTATAAACGGCAGTAAGAGGAGAAAATGTGCTGATTGTGTGGATGTTAAACAAGAAACAATAATAAAACAAATCTAAGCGGATGTGTTGATTTACCCAATCTTCTCACATGCCCAAAAATATCTTTCTTAAATAGCACTAAAGATTAAAGCTAAAAGAAATATTTTTGAAATGTAATTAAAAAAATATTCCCCCAAAATATGAAAGCCACACAAAATCAAGAGGCTGAACAACACTTAATTAACCGAACTGGAGAACACTATTGTCTTAACTGTCTGGTTTTGGCATCCTTCCCAGAGAGTTAAAAGAAATCTCGTTTTTCTCTGCTGCGAGCTTCCAAAATGACAAAGAAAAGAAGGAACAACGGTCGTGCCAAAAAGGGCCGCGGCCATGTTCAGCCTATTCGCTGCATGACCTGTGCCCGATGCGTGCCCAAGGACAAGGCCATTAAGAAATTCGTCATTCGCCGGGCGCGGTGGCTCAAGCCTGTAATCCCAGCACTTTGGGAGGCCGAGGCGGGTGGATCACGAGGTCAAGAGATCGAGACCATCCTGGTCAACATGGTGAAACCCCGTCTCTACTA